AAACAAATTTATTCCTGTGATGGCAAATCTAGAAATTCCAGTCTTCAGTGTCACATGATCCTTCAGAAATCATTCTAATATGCTGATTTGGTGCTCAAGAAACATTTCTTATCCATGTTGAAAACAGTTATATTTTTGTGGAAACCGATACATTTAAGGGTTTTTTAATGAATGGAATGTTTTGAAAAGTACAACATTTATTTGAGATCTTCTGTAACATTATAGATGTCTTTTACTTTCACTTTTCAAACCTTACTGAGCCCAAACTTTTGAATGGTTTTAATGCATTGTGAACTAGCATGTTTTAATTATAAACAGTATATTTATAAATTACGATGAGTGACTGATGTAAAAATTCAATATGATTTTGTCTAAATTTTAAAAAACTACAATCATTGAAAAAACATTTCATGACTATCCATGTAATTAATGTGTATTTTATTTTTTTTCTAAAAATACGGATGACTTATTAAATTATTATTAGTGTTTTTAAAGAAGTTAAGTGAGGGTTAGATCATAGTTAAAAAGGGGGAAATGGGGGAAAGTGCATGCACAATTAAATATTCACTATCATTAGATACGATAAATGAAAATAATCTTAATTATTGTACGACCAATATACATCTGTAGTGCTCATAATGCTAAATGAATCCATCTACATTTTCATGATGATGGCAAAGTATTCGATTGCTTAATTTTGCATTTCAGATTATGTCAAATGGAATAAGTCAGAGCTTTTATAACATTCAGAGTTTCCAACTTGAAAATGTGAATTTTTTTTTTATTAGTTGAAAATTAATAATAGTAATAATTCTAGTAAATATTATAATTACTGTGAACATAGTAATATCTGACATTCTCCCTGTCATTCTTCAGGGTTGGGCATGTATGAAAGTCCTCTCTTCCTGCCTGCTCATGATGAAGAGTCTGGAGGCAGGAGTGTCCCCACCACTCCTCTACAAGTGGCTGCTCCAGGTGAGCAGCTGGTGGAAGTCATGCCAAATTTGTTTGGTTGATATATTTTATTCAAACCTAACTGCTCCCGTCCTTTCATTTGTCTTGACAGTGACGGTATTCACAGAGAGCCACCCCTCTGATGTGTCAGAGACAGCCTCTCAGTCTGTTCCCATGGTCAGCACGTCCACCACCAGTCTGACCGCACCAGGAGAAGCTGTCCCAGGGGACGATGGAGATGACGTTTTTGTGGGGGAGGCTGAGAGTGAAGGGTGGGCACTCACTTCAGAGTGGCTCAGTTTTTTCAGTGGGGCTGTAGTAATTGTGTTATCTGTGTGTAGGGCGAGTAGTGAGGCATGTCTAGAGGGCCAGTCAGAGCTGGAATCTGCACAGCCGACCGATGATGCCAGCCTGCCCTCCACCTGTCAAGAGCCCACGTCCAGCTCTGCAGGTACACACCATTTCACAGATTTGCCGCTTTGTTTTGTTTTTTCTTTTTCTGGTTCTTTTAATTTCTCAGATATAATTAAAAATTAAATTGGACCCAATTCTGTCTAAATTAAAATGAATTTTATTATATTAGCCTAATTAAAAGAAGTTCTTGAAATAAAAACCTTGAGTAGTTTAGTGTATTTAGTTGCACTTGTGAAACAAAGAACCACTTTGTCAGTTTTTCCGTAAGTCTAAATGTCTATGTATACTTTCTAGATACTTAGAATAATTTAAGTTTTTAAATTAGTTTTATTTAATTTAAAATTTTTGTGTGTAGTTAGATTTAGCAATTTAGCAATTAAAGAACTTGACACATGATTTTTAAAGGGGAGGTCTAAAGCTATTTCAAGCATTCTGACTTATTTACACTGTTAAAGAGTTGAATTCTCATGCTAAACATGGCCAAAGTTTAAAAAAAACTAGTTGGACGTATGACTGAGCATTTCTGTGCCAAATACACTCCTTCAGGGTTTGTATAAGTTTTGGAACGTTTCTTTCAAGTATGGCCCTCTATGACATCATAAAGGGTGGAATTCCTTGTATGGGCACTTCTCCTGGAAGGGAGACTTAAGGGTTTTGTTCCTGTTTTATTAGGGATGCACCGGTATCGGGCCCGATACTGCGCTCCTGTACTCGTACTCGTAAAAATGCCCTGATACCAAAAGCCGATACCAAACAGCGTGTGAATAGAGCGGTGTCCAGAAAAAGAAACACTGAAAACAGAACAACAGAGAGTAGAATGGAGTTATTAGAGATTAAGGATGTCTATGAAGTACATGTAAGTAATTAATATAATGTTAAACATTCAATATTCACGCCTGTATAGCGGATGTGCCCGAGCTGATAAGCAGAGCGCGCTGAGTGGATTGAGCGCGCGGCTGCACAGATACGCAAGCTTGTCGAGTGAATATCTCACAGACATCACTGGAAAGTTGTAGCTCGGTGGGATATGTCAAAAGCAAGTAAGTAAAACAATGCACAATTTACTAAAGTTATTTGACGGTAAGGAAGAGCGAGAGAGTCCGAGAGCGTGCACTTCTGTTACATGATCTTGATTGCTGTTCGCTCCATTAGCGCATGCATTTGGATTAAAACTAAATCATAAATATAAAACAAACAAAAATTATAGTGGCATTCACTATAAACCGCATTTATTTTAAGCGTCAAGCATACACAACTTTATTTAAAGCAGAAGTGAAACTAGCAGACTGGGTGAAATGGGCTAGGCTGTAAGTGTCTCTCTCATTCTGCACCAATACAAACGTGTGCGCGCTGCGTATGTTTAGCTTGCTTTAAAGCCAAAGTATTCTTCGGTTTTTACTTGTACGCGAGGGTCCGTGTGCACTGTGCGTGACGCAAATTACATCACCAAAATAGTACGCGTGCACTCGTATAATGTATAACGAGTGGTTCCCTGCATTATTTTAGGAAAACGTTTTGTGATTACAGTATTGAGCTGCTGCAATGGAGCAGCTCTAATGCGCCATTAAAATGAACCGTGAAATTAACAAAAGCTTATACAATATATTTTAACAGGTATAATTAAGTGTGGAAATAACTGAAGGTAATATCTGTTTGCTAAATGAAGCCAACTAACATGATTCATATTATTATTATTTTGTTTCTGTACCCAATATTTAAATAAAATTACAAATGCTGTGAAAATACAGGTATTGGTATCGGCGAGTACCAAAAATGAAAGTATCGGACTCATTCTGAAAAAAGTGGTATCGGTGCATCCCTATGTTTTATGTATCACAGCTTGCAGATGATCACTATGCAAAAGATTCATATGTTCTTGACTCTTTAGCTCCGCCCAGGGCATGCCACCAGGAGCTCGACTGTTTTCAGAGAGAAGCTTAAAGCTGTATCTATCTTTATAAATCTGATCAAATTAAAGATTCTTCAAAGATATGAAGGATGCAATATTCTAGAAGTACTCAAGATTAACATGAGATGGGCAGAAACTGTGCGTGTTATGTCCCCTTTAAAAGATTTTTCCTGTTCTTTATCATTGACCATTTTACTGTGGGTACAGAAAATAACCAAAATAATCTCTTTAAAATAATCACATTTTGTTGCTTTGCAGCCTGAAATGAAGATGGACACCATTTTTGTTTTATCCAGCTGTATTTTCTCAGTGCAACTTATAACATCCAAGTGAAAGATATAACACCAACATGTCAGAAAGAATAAAAAAAGTTGAGTTGGAAAAAGGATCACCCCCTCCTAAAAATGACTTGTAAGTTGTAAACTCAATCAGGTGTAGCTAATCACCTTCTAAGACTTTCAACTGTGATCTGCTGTGGTCATTTTGATTAGCTCAGCATGCAAAGAGCTTTCCTGGAGCATTTCAGTCCTTGGTAGTGGAAACAATCAACTATGGGTGGCAAGGCATTGTCAAAAGATCTCCGGGATAATGTTGTGGACAGACACAAGTTAGGAGATGGATACAAAAACATTTCAAAGGTTTTATCAATGGATAGACGCACAGTGAAGTCTATTATTAAGAAGTGGAAGGTATTTAGTACAACACAGACCCTCCCTGCATCAGGACGTCACTCCAAACTGGATGAAAGAGCCAGGAGGAAACTGTTCAGAGAGGCGACCAAGAGGCCTACAGCAACTCTGAAGCAGCTGCACAATTAAAGCAAAAGGTGGTTCAAGAAAATACTGACACAAGGGTGATCCTTGTTCCAACTCAATGTTTTTGGTTAATTTTTTTCTGACATGTTGGTGTTATATCTTTCACTTGGATGTGATTTATTTTAAAGGGGGTGATTCGTTTCTATTCTTTTTCTTTCTACCCGTAAGTATTTGTCCCTGTTTATCACCCCATTTCTCTTCCTCTTGTAGATACCAGCACCAGTACTGGTCAGGCCAAACCTGCGAGCCGGCTCCTTCCTCAGCACCAGCTGCCGCGGAGGAACCAGATCATCAGGAGAGGTTAAGACCCCATGTTTTTACATCCATCCTCTTACTCATACATAAACTCTCAGTATATCATTAGTCACATTTTCTCACAAAAAGTAACACCGACTGGATTTGAAAACTTCTCTCTTTTTTTTTTTTTTTAATGAAGCAAAGATTACGTGAAATGCATACAGAAGCTTTTCATTTGTCAGTTTTGTACTTGATTGTATAATTTGGTGTTTGTTCTGTAGAAACAGACATTTTAATAACTTTGGATGTCTACAAAGATCTTCAATGTAACTTGATTTGGTTAGTCTGGGTCTGTATCTCAATCTTTTCCTGCAGGTGGTGTTTTTCCTCGTGGAAGTCGGGGTCGAGGACTCAACAGAGGCACTCCCCTCTAAATCCACTCGCCTTTACAGCGTCTGCCCAGCAGAAACACTGATTACAAGCCCATGAATGACTCTTCAGAGTACCCAGAATCAGCCTACTGCAGTTTTACTTTCATGTTTTGTTTCAATGTGCTTTAAAACATTGGTTAGATTTATTTTATATTTTGTGAGTAATCATACTGACGCTATGTTCAATGGCTTTTGCTAATAAATGGAGAATCTTGCTCGCCATGCAGTTGCTAGTGGTGTTTGTTTCATGCTGGTCTTTCAGGCACAGTTGAGCCACTTGCTGATGTCATTCTGCTGGGAGGAGTGGCTGACAGGGGCCGTCAAAGCGGGCAGATCACCGCTAACCTTGACGTTTAGGACTTTAGCTGTAAATCACAGAGATGCTGTTATTAAATGGTTCACTTTAAATGTACTGATTCAAAAGAAACTGAAATGAGACTCAATCAGTAACACATTTCACACTCAAATCCTCTCACAAACGGTCTTCTCTTTTAATTACACAGGAAAAACTTGTGTTGCAAGATAAAATGTTGTCACTTACGCCAAGAGAAAACAAAGTAATCGAAACCATCAGTCTTCCTGGGGTTGGGCATGGACAAGGCTGATGTCACTGGGCTGGGGAAGCCCTTCATTTTGAGCGTGATGTTGATCTCTCCTGACAACTGGATCTCTGTCAAATTACAAAAACATCATAAAATAAATAACTTGTGCATCTAATTTTTATCTGTTGCAGTGTTAACGTTAACTAAAATATTTCCATTATTTGAAATAAAGCTGAAATAAAATATAAATAGATGAAAATGTTGCTTTGGTAATTAAATGCAATAAAATGATAAATTACTAAAGTTGCAAAAATGACTAACACTGCAATTAAAGTAAGTTAAAGCTAAATATAAAAAAAACCTACAAATGAATAAATGCTATAATCACATAAATGATACTAAACAGTTTTGTTGCTGTAATTACATTTTACATAATCTTTTCAATGCATTGCAAGACAATTTTCTTTGAGTACCTCAATTTAACATAAACATAATTCAGATTACCTGCTTGTTTGGCATTTTTGGATCTCTTTCCACGGCAAGTTGGTCCACTTCCAGAAGGAAAAGATAGTTTCTGAACCGTGCCTCCTAATTAGAAAACACAAATTATGATTAATTTTCTCATTTTGGTCATTTCTAATTATTCTAACCAAATACAGGACACAGAGGGCTCCAGTTAGCACCTTTCTTGAAGAAGTACACAGACTCGGGTCTCTTTCTGGTAGCTGGGACTGGCAGAGCAGCAGTGATCCCACCGGTGAGCCCACCAAAGCCCTGGGACACAGATCTGGGATATCCAGGCTCCACAACACCATTCTCCAAACTCCAGTAGTTGTCACCCTTAGTGAGAGAATATTTACAATTCAGTGGATTTTCAAGGGTTGCAAACACAGTGATGGTTTTCGGTACCTTGATGATGTAGGTCTTGCCCTGGCAGTTGCAGCGTGTGAAGGCCGTGTCGATGGGAGACGGGATGCCCAGTTCTTCAGTGATTCTACGAGCAGGGCTGGCTCTTCTAGTCTTGGGGTTCAGCAGCCAAAAGAAGTGACCTGAGATGGATAGCACTTTTCTTAATTAGTGTTATTATAAAAAATTGCACTACACGCAACAGTACATACATAAAGAAGTTGTACCTCTGAAAACTATGATGGAGTTGTTGAAGAGAGTTGCCATTCCATCAATGGCAAGGTCACTGCAGAGATCAGGGTTCGAGTTTGCATCTTAAAAAACAGAAATGAATGGTTCAAATACATTCAGATTTAATTTACACTTCTGGTCAAAAGTTTAAAATAATCAAGATTTTTTTATGTTTTTCAAAGAAGTCCCTTGTGCTCACCAAGGCTGCATTTATTTGGTTAAAATACAGTAAAAACAGCAATATTACAATTTAAAAGAACTGTTTGCTATTTAAATGCAATGTAAAATCTAATTTATTCCTGTGATGGAAAAGCTAAATTTTCAGCATCATTACTCCAGTCTTCAGTGTCACATGATCCTTCAGAAATCATTCTAATATGTTTCTTTGCTGCTCAAGAAACATCTATTATTATTATTATTATTGTTGAAAACAGTTTTTGCTGCTTAATATTAGGGAACAGTGCTACACTACTATCCAGAAGTTTGGGGTAAAGAAGACTAAAAAGAAAAAAATCTGTTTATTATTAAACCAATCAAAAGTGACAGTAAAGACTTCTATAATGATTCCAAAGATTTCCCTTATTATTATTATTATTATTGTTGAAAACAGTTTTTGCTGCTTAATATTAGGAAACAGTGCTATACTACTATCCAGAAGTTTGGGGTAAAGAAGACTAAAAAGAAAAAAATCTGTTTATTATTAAACCAATCAAAAGTGACAGTAAAGACTTCTATAATGATTCCAAAGATTTCCTATGCCAAATAAATGCTGTTCTGTTGATATTTCCATTCATAAAGAATCCTGGAAAAAAAAAATGTATCACGGTTTCCACAAAGTTGTTAAAAAGTGATAACATTTTATTGATATTAATAACACTGACAATGTCATTACTAATAATTGAGCACCAATAAATGTGCACCAAATCAGCATATTAAAATGATTTCTGAAGCATCACATAACACTGAAGACTGGAGTAATGACTGCTGAAAATGTAGCTTTGCCATCACCGGAAGAAATTACATTTTAACATTTATAGTTAAAAGTTATTTTATATTGTATTAATATTTCACAGTATTGCTGTTTTACTGTATTTGTACCCAAACAAATTCCAAACCTTTGACCAGTAGTGTATTTTAAATGAATCGATTGATCAGATGTATATAACATGAAAGATAGACACAGTATATTTTATATGGTTATATATATTTGAAATACTGAATACAACTAATTTCAAATATTTTCCATACACAGGTGGCAATTACAGGGGTGTGAAAAAAATTCATAAGTGTTACTGAAGTTCCATACCTGGTGCTGCAGGGCTGCTGGCTGCCATGGCCTGGGCGATGTCTGCAAGAGTGCTGGGTTTACCTGCAGCAGAGCCAGGTCTGCTGGACGGCCCATCACCTTGTCCACTGATGGAGAGGGACACCTGCACAGGGATGGTTAGGGGACTCCCAGAGGAAGGTCCCGCTGCCTGTAGTGGTCCAGCTGCAGGATCAGGACCAGATTCCGGCAGTAGGAACCCAGAAGGGTTGGAACCGATGCCTGCGAGGGCATGTATGTAGTTTGGTTAATATTTTGATCATCAGCTCACATGGAAATGTCTGCAGATTTGAATTAGTTGTCTCTTTCCCATAATAAGTCAAATACATTTTAGTTTTAATAGGTTAATTCTTTTTAAGCAAACTCATAAAGCTGTAACCGGGTATGTCAGAGGGTGTCAGAGGAGCGAAGAGGCTGATGTCCTGGGGCAGAGGGCCACCAGCAGGAAGTGATGCGGCATCAGATGGAGCCATAAAGTTATTCAGTCTGGTGTCTGAAAAAAAATTAAAATACATATACACTATCATTCAAAAGTGTGGGATCAGAAAGACTTATTTATCTATTTATTTATTTATTGAAAGAAATGTATACTTTTATTCAGCAAGGAAGCATTAAATTGTTCGAAAGTGACAGTAAAGATGTATAATATTGACAATTATTCCTATTTCAAATAAAACCTATTCTTATGAACTCAAAGAATTTAAAAAAAATGCACCGTTTCTACAAAAATATTAAAGAGCACAACTGTTTTCAACATTGATAAAAATAATAAATGTTTAATGAACACTAAATCAGCATATTAGAATGATTTCTGAAGGATCATGCGACACTGAAGACTGGAGTAATGGCTTCTGCCAATACAGGAATAAATTACATTTGAAAATTAAAACAGAAAACAGTTATTTTTAAAAAAGCAATTGTATTTCACAATATTACCATTTAACTGTATATATAATGAAGACACAAAACTTACCATCTCTCATGAGATCTGGGCTTTGCTGTGCTGCGAGACATACTGCCATGCACTCCTCAGTATAATCTAAAAAACAGCAAATAAAAATACACTTTTTCATTATCTAATCGGAAGTTGATACAAAATGAGAGCTACAGGGGTTCCAGTCAGATTGGATCACCAGTGGATGTCTGATTTATTTCCACAATTCATATATGCTTTGTTTTATTTTCTGCTCCAACCTTTGTGCCAGTGATCCTCTTCAGTAGTCGGTGAAATACAGTTTGTCTTTACTATTAACCTAAACGTACATGAACCTGCCTCCTCACTCCCACTGACTGAAGGCTTAGCTGCTCCGAGGGGCTTCAGATCAGTGTTTTGGTTTTGGGAGGGACTGAAGACAGTTTGGTCTTTATGTCTAACATGTTGCAGCTTGAGTGAATGACCTTTTCCTAAATATCCTCTACAGAATCTACTGCCAATCAGCACTATAGGGGCTCCTCAAATTGCTAAAAGGGTCACAATCATACCAACAACAACAACAAAAAAAAGGATTAAATAGATAGGCTATATTAAAATAATACCTGTTGGTTTGTTTAGTTTTGAACTTCTTGCAGCTTGCAACTGGGAGAGAGCATCTGATGAAGACGAGAATAAAGTCAAAACAGGAATAAAACTGGTATCAAGTCAGTGAAGATCACATATACATTTTTCATAATATTCATAGCATTACTACATATAGTACAATGAACATTATAATGATCTTAAGTAGGCTAGTAGCCTATATAGTTAAGCAATTTTAAGTAGTGTTTTATACTGGGGGTCCCTTGGTCTGTATTAAAAAAAAAAGAAAGTCCAAATAAGAGTCTTGTGTCATACCCGAGCGGCAACCTCCCGCTCTCTCGTGAAGCCAACAAGGAAGTGACTTAAATAAAGTCAAAACAGGAATAAAACTGGTATCAAGTCAGTGAAGATCACATATACATTTTTCATAATATTCATAGCATTACTACATATAGTACAATGAACATTATAATGATCTTAAGTAGGCTAGTAGCCTATATAGTTAAGCAATTTTAAGTAGTGTTTTATACTGGGGGTCCCTTGGTCTGTATTAAAAAAAAAAAGAAAGTCCAAATAAGAGTCTTGTGTCATACCCGAGCGGCAACCTCCCGCTCTCTCTCGTGAAGCCAACAAGGAAGTGACTTAAACTGTAATTCGTCAACTGGCCGCTAGAGGCTGGCTGCAAAAGGGAGTCAACTTTTTGTCCATTTTCGATTATCCGGGAGTGAATACAAGTCTATGGTCATACCGCACTGCTCGCTGTAGTCGGGGCAGCAGGAGTTGTGGAGCGCACAGTCTGAATCGCACTCGCACTGTCTGCCGCGCCGGAACGCCTCACCACAGCGACCCCTGCAGGAGTCTCCTGCCAATTACACACAACTATTTTAACACTATAAAACCGACTGTATCGTATTTGATACATGAATTTCTAAGGCTTCTAAATTCGGAACATGACCAAATCTCTGTGGATTTTTAAAAAAAGAAAAATCATGTTAAAATATCAGTAATAAGTATGATACATGATCAGGCTTTTGAGGAACATTTATTCGTACACCACTTAGTCAACATTGCGTTGCATTGCATTTTGTTTTGCCCCCACAATTAAAACTAGCTTTGAAAAAACAAACAAAAAACAAAACAAAATAAAATTAGTTTTTGGCCCTCCTTGAGTGTAAAATAAAATAATATTAGGAGAAGGTTTAAAAATGAAGAACTATAGAAATTATGTATTAAAATGATAAAAGTACATATAAACTATCAGTCAATACTTACAGTAATACTTTTACAGTCTCTATAAAAGTTTGGACCCCTCATGATGAAAAAAAACTATATCAAATAAAATAATTATATTTATAAAAATAGTATATACAATTGTTATATTAATTTTAAAAAGTTTTTGAATGAAAAGAAATGAATTGGGCCAGGTAGTGAGGGAAACGCATTAACAATTATCCAGCATTCTAAAATAAAGTATACTTCTGGGTCACTGCATAAATTCATAGTTTTGATTATTTACTATTCAAATTTCAAAAATAAGTAAATTAGTAATACAAAATAATTGTCATTGTGAGATGGTAGGGTCTTACCAGCAGTGCAGGCATCCTCAAAATCCTTGCAGCACTCGCCATGGACAAAACAGATGTAGTCACAGTTACAGACCTGCTCGCGGGCGAATTGCTCGCCACATCTGCCCGCACAGCTGCCTGCACACAACAACACAAGCTGAATCCAACCAGTCACCAGGACCAGGATGGACAGATCCAGAAATGATCCGACTCACCTTGAGCAGCACACAGTGGCAGGAGAACACAGGCCATCGCCAGGAGAAATGAAACCAGAGCAGATCCAGTCATGATAACCCTCAATAGAGCAGCCCACACTGATAAAAACACCTATTTGTCTAAAAAAGACATGATATGATCACAAAACATTGAAGTTTGTTGTTTCGAAAAGAAGCCATTCATCATCAAAGTCGTCTGCATGCAGAGAAGGACTTACCAAAGGGAAGCGTCTTTCTGAACTCACCTTGTTCTGTCCTTGTGCGCTTTGACTCTTTTATACTGTATGCCAGCTGGATTTCTCCTGTTGGCCAGAAACTTTAATTAAACACTGCAGCCCAATTAAAGCATGATGATGTAAAGACTAACCTCCCACACACACACACACACACACACACACACACACACACACACTGTCAGCAATGTGTCCACAATGCTGACAGAAGAGTCAGTAACCTCTTTAAAATGTCCTTGGATCTCAGTGTTCCACAAATGGGATGAACGGTTCATTTATTTATTTATTTTTATTATGGCTATTAAAATGTCAGTGTCCAGTGGTTCTGATACTGGGCTTCAGTGCATGAAAGCTCATAATGCGGTCAGCTTATGGGTCAAAATGAAGCTCTTTAATCAAATTCAGAGAAACCAAAACATGTCACTGCAGAGGTCCTGCACTTTTCCCAGACTTTATTTAGTTGACACAGATGGTGTTTGACCTTTCTGATGTGGTCACGAAAATTAAACTACGTACTATTGACACAAAGGCCCCACAGAATTCTCTTGTTTCAAATCTGAGTCACTCGATTTGGTCCAAGAGTTGGTTTCATGTAGGAGGCCATGGTCATTTGAGTGTTTGGTGATTGTTTGGGTGGTTGGTAAGGTATGTATGTGTCTCAAATAACTGCCAAAGCTGATTCATAAGCTGAACTGAGAAGGACGTTGGAGTAATGATCTCCTAATACCCAAAATCAAACCAAATCCAACAATGTAGTCATTAAAAAAACTATATTGTGCTATGTAATAAATGTTTCGGCTTTTCTCTCAGTTCCTGTCGCAATAAAATGACCACGCGCTGTGAAGAAAGCGAGAGAGAAAACATCCTCTTTATGGGAAGTGGTTTTTGTTCTGAAGTAATGTCTTTCAAATGTTAAAGCAGTGTACCACACCTCCAAACACACTGCAGTGATTATTTCTGTCTTCTGGTTTGGATATGTGCTTCAAAACTCAACATTGCCCCAGGGACCACTGAGACGCATTAGTCCACGTGTCCCCAACAATCAAAGGCAATAGATTTTCTGTTCAGACACTGTTGTTGTTAATAGTCTGAACAAAGTTAGAGAAAATGAAAAAAGCAAAACCTTAGAGACAGATCATGTTCTCACAGTGTTTTGGTTTATTGTTTAGAAAAAGAGACTTTGAGGACAATTTGGGCCACTTCATTCAGTGTCTCGCATCATTATATCGCTGTTGTTCTAGTGCTGTTCCAGCTCAGATGTGTTGTTGACAGAGGTATACTTTGAGGTTTGCATCAGGCTATTGATTGCTCAGGCACTGCGTTGTAGCCTGAAGATGTTGAATTTGTAGACCTTTTAAAACGAACCATGTAACCTGCACATAAAAATTCAGTTGATTTTAAATGTGTTTTAAAGAAGTCTCTTATAGCACCAAAGCTGCATTTGCTCAATTGAAAATATAAAAACAAACAAACATTAATATTGTGTATATTAGTGTTGGGTTCGAGTCCACCTAAGTTGAGTACGAGCCTTTAACCAAGTTGGACTCAAGTCCGAGTCCCAAGTCTGCTAAAAGTTGCACTCGAGTCCGAGAACCCCAACTCTAGTGTATATTTTTACATTTTAAAATAACTATGTTCTACAGTAATATATTTCAAATTGTAATTTATTCATGTGATGTCAAAGCTGAATTTTCAGTCATTCCTCCAGTCTTCAGTGTCACATGATCCTTCAGAAATCATTTTAATATGCTGATTTTCTTATTATTATCAATGTTGAAAACAGTTGTGCTGATCAATATTGTTGTGGAAACCCTGATACATTTTCTTTTAGTGTCCTTGATGAATAGAGAGTTCACTTTTGATCAATTTAAATGCATCCTTGCTATAAAAAATCCTTAATGAAAAAAAAAAAACGAAACATTTGGAGGGGTAAATAGTGTATTCTCTCAGAAAAAGAGGTGCAAAAGTTGTCACTGGGGCTGTACCTTTTCAAAAGGTACACTTTTGTATCTTAAGGGTTAGTACCCAAATATTAGCAATTTTTGAAAAGATGTACTTGCCCCAGTTACAGCTCTTGTACCTTTTTTTTCTGAGAGTGTATGTATAAAACCCCCCAAAATAGCCATAAATATAATTAATATTTTGAGTTAATTTATAGTTATATAAACTTCTTTTTATTTCTCTATAAGTATAATGTACTTGTATAATGAAAATACAGATAAAGAGCTTGACTTGACTATGCAGTGACTATCTAATAATCTAGTGTAGATGTAGGGGCAACAGAGATATGGAACATGCTTGAACAAAACAGATAATTATAAGGTCTTTCATCAGCTGCATAAATTTGCCATATTTTGCAGCGCATAGTGATAAACAGATGTTTAGGAAATCTATCTATCTATCTATCTATCTATCCATCATCTATCTATCTATCCATCCATCCATCCATCTATCTATCTATCTATCTATCTATCTATCTATCTATCTATCTATCTATCTATCCATCCATCCATCCATCTATCTGTGGCACCCATATACAGAGATGGACTGTGAATTAAATATGTATAACTGATTTTTAGATTTGGTCAAATTTGTGCTAACTTGAACACCTGTAAAAATGTTTTATTTATTAATTTATTTACTTAAAAAAAATTTTTTTTGACCTGGTATGGGTCAAATCCAGTGATCAACATTTTTGTTTGGTATCTATGTTTTTGTATGTTATATTCACCTCCTTTACTTTGCCCTGTTGATTATCATATATGTGGCGAATGAGACATGTGACTGAATCAGATGAACACAGGTGAAACTCTGACATGAAATATTTGCTATTTTGTGAAGTGTCTGTTTAATCAAGAAATCATATAATCACTTTTTGTTATGGCATTGTTATCAAAACACATGGACACATAAAGTGCATTTTCAGCTCCATAAATACCATCAGTCTAGACACAAAACAGAGACAGATGAAAGAAGCACATTTCATTCATGCCTGCTGAGAAACGCATTAATGGTGTTCCTTTCCTGCCTGCTCCAGACATTTTACAAGTGCTTTTTAATTTTAGGGGAAAAAAATAGTTTCCCATCCAGTGAGTCACAGATTAATTGATTTAGAACAATCAGACAGTCCCGAATAACACCATGACACCTCACTTACATAAAGTTACAGCACTGGGGCTCATAATTGAACTAAATGGATGTTTTTCTTTTTCTTTTTAACTTTTCTAAAATAAAACATTGTCACATTAAATAATTAGTATACATATTTTAGTTGGTTTAGTAAATAGTTTAAATGTTAAATATTTTTATAATCAAATATATAAATGTGACCCTGGACCACAAAACCAGTCTTAAGTCGCTGGGGTATATTTGTAGCAATAGCCAAAAAAAAACATTGTATGGGTCAAAATCATTGATTTTTCTTTTATGCCAAAAATCATTAGGATAAAGATCATGTTCCATGAAGATATTTTATAAATTTCCTACCATAAATATATCAAAACTTAATTTTTGATTAGTAATATGCATTGCTAAGAACTTCATTTGGACAACTTTAAAGGCGATTTTCTCAATATTTTGATTTTTTTGCACCCTCAGATTCCAGATTTTCAAATAGTTGTATCTCGGCCAAATATTGTCCTATCCTAACAAACCATACATCAATGGAAAGCTTATTCATTCAGCTTTCATATGATGTATATATGATGTATATGATCGATTTTGTGGTCCAGGGTCACAAATAAATATATAACTTTCATAAATCATTCTAATATGCTGAATATTTCTTTAGTTTTTTTCAGGATCGTTCAAAACAACAGTTTGAAATAGAAATCTTTTGTTGCTGAATAAACATATTAATTAATTTATTTAAAAAAAGTACCTAACTTTTGAATGGCAGTGTATTGTATATAAAAATATACAAAATAACCCTAAATACATTAAATATATTGAATTCATAAATTTTTTCTTGTTATAATAATGTTTTATAATTAAATACATGCATTAAATATATAAATATATTATATTAGTAATTATTAATATTATAAAGATTAAAAAAAGATTTAAAAAAAGACCACCAAAGAGAACTAAATAACAATTTATTAAAACAAGAGAACTGTTTGTCTGAGACAAACCTGAGTTTTATTTTACAGCTCTTAGTTGCATATCTTTTTTGCTAAATGTTTGAATTTAGGTAGAAAATGTATGTCTCACACTGCATCTCCTCCGCTGAAGATTATTTCAAAATAAGGCAACAATAAAACAACATTTTAAATGATTTTGTTTTTTTATTTTCACAGAATTCTAAACTCATTGCTGGTGACTGTTCATACAGTTTTGTTTTGAATTAAATATTTTCACATTTAGTTTCTGCAGCTATCACAGATGGCAAAATCTATGTACAAAATAAAGGTTTACAGTACTCTTACAATTCACTTCAACAGTGTCTCTTTCTTCGAAAATACCAATACAAATCTTTTGTGTTCATTTGTTTTTCACATTGTGCTTGGTACAAAATAAGAACTTCTTGTTGTTATAATGGGGTTAAGTGTGCGCTGGGGAATATTTACATGCAGTAAGACTTGTGTCATGTGATTTGATGCGGCGCTTCCAGCATCTCCATGAGGAAAGTGTCTATAGGTGTGTCTCCGATGAGTTTGAAGAAGAACAGGTGCTCCAGGCACTTCAGTCCTATGGAGCGCAGAGCGGGCAGACGGAGGAGCAGCTTGGCAAACCTGAGTGAAAAGAGAAAAAAATACACCTGCATGACCTACATACTGTTTCAGTTCACACTAGTAACGAGCAAAAGTCTGTCATAAAATAAAGAAGAACAAGAGTGCTG